ACAGACGACTGTTAAAGAATGAGAAAAAAAATAGTCTCAACAATGAATAAATTTTAGAAGTACATCAATAGTGTTGCTGTTCAATATTTTCTTTTGATAAAATATACCAAAAAATTGACATCATTTTATCTATGGTATTCTTCCCCTAGAATTTTTCGCTTGTCGTATCAATTCATTGATTCTTCTTAAAAATCTAAGTTTCATTATCAGATACATATCTGATACTAATAAACTAATTTAGATTCTTCTTTCATTATTCATCGAGATTATCATAAATCACAACCTTGTAACTAGTTATATATTTCTCCATAGATATTAGAATAAACTAGACTTCAGAATTCATAACGAAAACTTAAGAGGATTTCGATAGAATATTTATCAGATGTAAGACAAACGCATCATCCTTGAGCGATCGACAAATTTCTAATTACCTACGAAGAGTATAGAAAAAAGACTTAAAAAACGATCGATGTGTCAGAAGAAAGAGTGCAGTCAGGTTTTTGTAATATCTCAACATATTCTAATGAAAAGATCTCATTTTATTCTCAAGAAAACAGAATAGTTAAATTTCTAAAAAGTCAAAATATTTGTTTAAAGAAGTGAAAGTTCATACATCTTTAAAACATAAGGCATGAGTAGAAGTCTTTTGAACAAATATCAATACAAAAAGAAAAGTTTGTAGAAGAGACTTCTATTCATATCTTATGTTTCATAGATGCATGAACTTTCATTTCTTTAAATAACTATTTTGAGTTGTTAGAAATTTAACTTCTTCTTTTTCGAAAACAAAATGAGACCTACTCATTGAAATGCATTGAGATATTGAGAAAAAGTACGAACGTGTATTGTCCATCATCAAATTAATAAAATTAGATAAATGGTTAGGTTACATGTAAGACGAAGATGATTCTGAAATATTAAACTTCTTTTTCAAGTAAAGAATCGTTTACGACAGATAAAATAAAGAAAAATTATGGTTTTAACGTCAACAAATCACTATTTATGACATTTACAATCCGACGTTTAAACAACAAGAACATAATATTACTTTATGACGTAGAAAATCGTTTTTTGTGATAAACGCGTAATTTGGTCAATATATCGTCGTTTAAACGATGTGACATTAAACATCGTTTTCACGGCAGAATAGGGTTTCCTCAACTAACTGGGTACGACACAACACTGTGAATATTCATTCTATCTAAAACCGTACTATTTAACTATCTATAGTTTTCACACAGACACTCACATTACTTAACATTGCATGCAATCAAACCGGAGACAGAGGAGCACAACATCTCGCTAATGCTCTAAAGCACAACAATGTGAATATTCTTTCTTACTAAAACTGTAGCATTTAACCATCTACACTTTTCACACAGACTCTCACAATACTTAGCCTTATAGACAATGGAATCGGAGATAGAGGAGTAGAACATATCGCTGATGCTTTACAAGACAATACTGTGAATATTCATTCTATCTAAAACCGTACCATTTAATCATTTACACTTTTCATACAGACACTCACAACACTTGACCTCAGAGACTATGGAATTGCAGGCGAGCTGTTGAAGCAGGTGAAGGAGTTGATCGACCGAAATAAGCATGAAAAGAATAAAGAAAATTAATATTGAAAACCGCGTGATGAGCAGGAAAAAGAAATCTATTAAATATATGACTTAAGTTTATTTATTTTTATATTTTCTTACTGAAGATAAAGGCCTCCGAATTGTATTTATTTTCAGCCAGTTAAACGATTTTGGTTTTCATTTAGATCGGAGGTTGTACGTATAGGATGTTTGTGTTCTTGTGAAGAAGATATGTAGTTTGAACGAGGAGATATTCCCATGTCATCAAAATCGCCACAAAATCGACGATTTTATCGCGATTTATTAGTCCGATAATCGTGAGATTAATCACGATTAATTGGCTGAAGTGGCGATTTTTTTCGGACCCCCGCAACAAAAACACAATACATGGAAAAACCAAACGATTTTGACGAAATAAGTCGATCATATATAGACTACCTGGGTCAACAGCCAAATAAAACTCGATGATTATATCGCGATTTATTAGTTCAATAATCGTGAGGTTATATCGCGATAAATCGTAAAAATTGGCAATTTTTCTAATTTTCACACAAAAATCGCCATTTGTGCTAGATTTCGACGATAAAATCGCCGAAGACAAGCGATTAATCGGCGGTTTTTTTTAAAATCGCGATTAATCGTCAAAAGTGCGGTGATTTCGACGACATGGGTTATGTATATCTCGATTTTATCAAGTAGCATAAGAATTGTTTGAAGAGCCTCTTGGCAATGAATGATATTTAAAAAGATGTTTCAAGTGGAGAAGTTAGAAAGATTCTTAAATATGGTACATGACAAGATAATTGTGATCTTCCTTTCAGCTTATGCGATTTAGTTGCTGTTAATAACGCATTGAATGTTGAAGTAATGCATGAAGAAAATAATTTTGATGTCTTCGGACGGTTTTGATGGATGCAATGGCTGTATGGAACAATGATATTGAAACGACAAGAGTCGTGAAATTATTGCATTTGATTAAATTAAAACAATGAGTTACGGATTTGATAAGAAATTACTGTTAATAAGAATGAATTGTTTTTCGAACATGCTACAGTTTGTTTATATGAAATCTGTTTCGGTACGACGTTGGATATTGCTAATTGGCTTCTATGTTGATAGGAAGCAAAAGGAGAAGTACAGAGTGGTGTATCCTCTTATCTAGCTTCTTTTGTTTTTTTATCTGCTGTTCACATATACTCTTATATGCTTGAGAGGTGAATAACTGAAGTTAACAACACAAAGACACATTGCTACATGATTGGAGTCAATTAAAAATAAGCTTTTTCATATCTGTATAATGACCTTAGCTCAATATTGAAGTTCATTCTAATTCGTACAAAACAATGCATTTATGACAGCAAAAGTTCTTTTGGAAAAACTGTTTTTCGATATAATACCATTATAATAGTGTAAAAACATTGCCGTCTATCGACTTATACAGTATGTGTATCAAACTCTTCTACATACTAATCGTACCACTTAGTTCAATGAATTCATAGATTCACGTACGTACACTACAAAATTCATTGTTCTCTGTTGCATTAGTTCAAATGTGCTGACAAATTTGCGGTTAGATTTGTGCATAAGATGTACTGCAGATGAGGTATGTCATGAAGTTTTTATAGAGTTAAGTGACATGAGTTAGTCTGTCTACTAAAATCTTTTTTAGATGTTAAAAACGAATGAGTCTCAAAAACTACTGAAACTCGTTACTGGTGGTAACCATATGCCTCTTCAGTTATTTTATATACCCCTGGAAAGTAAAAGCTGGACATGGTATTTCGAATCTATTGACGCTCGAGAAGGACATTTTGGAAAACTTAATTATACCATTTGATAGCCCTTGAAATTCTCTATCACTCTGTCTATTTTTGTCTTCGTTTACAGTTAAATATTACCAAAATAAATTGAGTGAAATGAAGGTACCCTTATGTCCAGATTCCCACAGATTGGATTTTGTCTCCTCAACTAGTTCTCCAGCTATAGAAATACATTTCCAAAAAAGTAATTATATATTCTGATAGAGCTTGAAATTCTCTATCAGCCCATATATTTATCTATTGCCTTATATTTGTTTGCTGAAAAATAATTTGAATACAATGAACGCCTCCTCAATTGACAAGTATACAAAATCCGCAGTTTTTCGTTGTTTTTTTAGTTTCTTTCGCAAATTATTTTCGTATAGGAATAACTTTTTCCAAAAACAAATTTTACATTCTGATAGAGCTTGAAATTCTCTATCATCCTATATATTAATATATTGTCTTGAATTTAAGTAGCAAGAAAAACTGCAGATTTTTCATACTTGTCGATTGAGGGACCGTTCATTCTATTCAAATTATTTTTCAATAAACAAATATAAGGCAATAGATAAATATATGGGCTGATAGAGAATTTCAAGCTCTATCAGAATGTATAATTACTTTTAAAAAAGATAACACCATAGTGATAAAAAAATCTGAAAGACTAATTTTGGTGGCAGAGAAAAAATCCAGTCTGTGAGAATCTGGACATAAGGGTACCTTCATTGCACGCAATTTATTTTGGTAATGTTTAACTGTAAACGAAGACAAAAATAGACAGGGTGATAGAGAATTCCAAGGGCTATCAAATGGTATAATTAAGTTTTCCAAAATGTCCTTCTCGAGTGTCAATAGATTCGAAATACCATGTCCAGCTTTTACTTTCCAGGGGTATATATTAGAGTATGGATGTAAAACGAGAAGAATACACACTTAACTACTCCTACCCACACCCTCTCCAAGTGTATATGATGCTATTATATAGTGAAGAACAGAAGGAAACGAAATAGAAAAATTCTATTGGTCCATCTTGTAAGAAAGGAAATATTGATCATTGTAAGGATGAAATGAAGAAATATTTAAAGAACTGATGTCTTTGAATGTGGGTGGAATTTTAACTATTATGAGGTTTTATTCTGATGGCATTTAAAGAACCTTCTTTCTAATTCTGCTGATAACATATTTAATTTGAATATTCATATTCAAGGAATGTAAACAGTTATAGATAGTTTTTTTGTATTGGTCTAGCTGAAATAATTATTTATTGCATTTTATAATTCATTGTATATGTCACAGAAGAAATTTAAATTCAGGAAAATTTAAAATTTTCCTAAATATGTAGTATCAACTTTGTTACTTTTATATGTCAAAAATACAAAAGCCAAACTAGACATTAGAGCGTGGTTTCTTTTTAGATGAATGATATTTACTATCACACTGTAGTTTTGCTCTTCGACAACAACATTTCTTTGTTGAGCAAGTGCTATTATAATTACATCCTTCAGTAGGATCAACTGATCCTGTCCTCACATAAGCTTTACAGGATTGAGTGGGTGTCATTGTTGGTGATGTTGTTGGATCGATTCAATAGGTCTAGCGCTTGGAATCATAAAGAGATTTTAGCTGTTGTTGTACATAATTGTTGAGTTTCGATATTGTTTAATGCTAATTCCACTGATATGATCGTACATAACAGTACTTTAGGTGCAATATTTGTTCTGTCTACTTTGACGATTTTTATAGCAACTAGGCCATCAATTTTGTATTCATTTTTACGTAATGCATCGTTAAAACTTTCCCCTGGCTGGGCATATCTCATAACTTTACCTTTGACGATAAGTGTACCTTGATCGTCCTCTTCTTCTAGTGCGAGAAGACATGAATTATCTGCAATGGTAATAATGACAAAGATAAAATTGATGTCGTTTGAAATCTTGTGACTTGAGAAGCTAAACATATATTTGTACCAGAGGGCATTGTGGCATGAACAACAATCATTGGATTGTCATATTCGTTTGGTTCATGAATAAAAGCAAGTGAAAGTTGTTGTTGATTCAAAATGCTTTGATTTGACACAACTTGCCAAAGTTTCATATTACGCATAGTTTTCAGACCGAATAACATCTCATAAAGAGATTTTTTGATCGTCTCAGCTGTGTTTGCATTTCTAGAATAAACTATTTGCTCTATACCTAAATTTAACAGCCTCTTACAAGTTTTTGCTAATTTATTGATCTGTTTACCTTATGTTTATTCATTAAGACTATTCGACTCCATCTATTTCACGAGAGCTAATTGAAACGTTGCGTGTCTTCTTTCAACCAATTGTTAGGTCTGAGGATGACAATGCTGACAATTATGAGATTAGATCATGTATTTTTCAAATTCTACTCAATATGAAAAGAACTTTCTAAATAGTGTAACATTAGCAAATAACAGAATTATTACTTTTATAACTTTTGCTACGAATTCTTCACTGTTGTCAGATTGAAGAATTCATGGTGCTCCAAATGATGAAAATTCTTGTAGCAGTTTTTCAGCAACATATTTTGCCTCTTTGGACTGTAACGAATGAGCTCAGGAAAATTTCTTGAAATGATCCTTTGTGTGACGATTTCACTTGTATTTTCCATCCAGGAGGCTCCTCGTATCTATTAAATCTATCTGGAGACGAGTAATTTATCCGATAGACAGGATAGGTTTTTCTAAAATGTAAAATCCATACTATGGTAACTGTTATTCTCGCATTGATATTAACCTAGCAACTGCTGGTTTTGGAAATGCTTTTCTATCGGAACATACGTCACATTGAGAAATAAAGGTTTTTACACTATCAAATGCATTCTACAAAAGATCCGTTTCTGAGATAATAAAACTCATTCCAAATACCGTTTCAGATGTCCATAAGAGCTTTCAAATGAATTTGCGAATGCTCGGCAATTCTTTGGTTTTTCAGGATACTAGTTCGAATACCCTAACAGTATCTTCAAATACTTTGTTGGTATTGCTATAAACCGAAACGGTATATTAGAGAATATATAGTAACACTAAAATTGTTGTTTTTAAAGTCTTGGAAAACTCTTTCATGACATCATGTTAGAATTCATAAACGTTTTGAAAAAGCATCTGTACTCACTGAAATTTCGATCTTGATTTCTCCGAATTTCAAAGGGTTAAATAACATTTGTCATATTATATTTTTTATGTAGTATATTTACTTATTGATGATTAGTGCTGGACATCAGTAGAGTTGTAATCATAGTTATTTCATCTTTTTAGGATAATATAGTACTATTTTTAGGTTGTTAATTCAATTGGGATCGGCGTTGTTGGCAAAAATGTAGTATTCACTGAGTTCAAACTATTGAATAAAAGTACCAATTTCAGAATATATGTTTACTCTTTAGTATTTTGATAAAATTCTTATGAAAACACCGACCAATCTTGAAAATTGTAATTTGAACATGCAGAACACATTCAGAACATTAAAAACCATTGATTCTTTGAAATATATTCTAATTCTTTGATCCCGAGAAGATTGGAATGATTCATTTGCGAGTTTCGTTTCAAATTGATCTATGTGTCTATGAGTACAAATGTTAGCATTAACCTAATCAAATCTGAACTTTTTTTTTTTATTCAATTATATCATATTGTAGAGCCAGTTCGTGAGAGCGAGTTTCTGAGAAAATCAGTCAGTATAAAACGTCAACGATGGAGTTTTATCTCAAAGTTAACGGAGGTTTTTAATGTACTAGAGGCAAGGGGAAAAAAACGGAATCCTGGAATCCGGTGGAATATTACGGAATCCCACGGAATCCCATGGAATCATGGAATCCGATGGAGTCCAATGGAATCCAATGGAATCCAGTGGAATCCGATAGAATCTAATGGAATCCGGTGGAATCCTATAGAATCTTGGAACCTTCAGTTCAAAAGCACTTAGAAATACTACTATTGCAGGAAAATGTGTTCAGATACATCAAGAATTAATAGAACAGTCAAAGAACATTTATCGTAATTTTCTCATTCAGAACCTCTTCTTTTCAAATCTTGAAGTTGCAAATTTATCTCTTTCAATATATATTTTAGATTGAGATCAGTAAACATACAAGAAAATAGAATACAATCAATAAATGTCAAAACCCAAATGAGGAAGGTTTAAATATAAACATTTTAAAAAAATTCAGTAGCGGAAGGAGGATTGATGGTAAGGTCACTCCTACTTAGACATAATGCCACGTATTTTAAAACTGTAAAAAAAAGTATTGAACATAAATACTTAAATAAAACGTTTATCATTTGTATATAAATATCACGACAATACACAATGAATATATATGTTATAGGCAAAATTGAGATTCAGGCAAATTTTAAATTTGCCTAGGAGACTATTCAAATACATAAACAGCCAGCAGTATGGCTATTGACTGAGAAAAATGATCGTCTGTCAACCGATAGGTTATCACGAGTTACGGAAGGAAGCAAGTAAAATTACATAAAAAACGATTCAAATATTTCTGTATATTGAAACATCAATTATGTGATTATTGATATCAAAAATATCAAACACTTTGTATTAATAAAGAATTTCACTGATGCAACTAAAGTAGTGGGAAAAGTTTAGAAAAAACGATTTTTTTGGTTTTTTTCATGATGTTAAGCACGTAGTTCCAATCCAAATAGTGATTTTAATAGTCAATGGAGTTTTCTATCCAATACATTTTATAGCAAGATTTCACAGATGAACAATAATGGCAAGGCTCCTAAAAAACCGAACACGGTATTTTTCAGCTTTTAGAAGACTTTGCCAGAGCTATTTTTAAACGGTGCCATCTTAAAGAGCACAAAATTCTGAGCAAAATGAGGAGTCGCCAAGTTTTCTACGAACTTCTCATAAAAAGTTACAAGCATCACAAAAATCATGAAAAAACGAAATTTTTTAAAAAATCGACTAAAAACGCCTTATTCATGATTTTTGTGATGCTTGTAACTTTTTATGAGAAGTTCGTAGA